ATCTTATTAATTTGAATCTATGCCTCTCTCTTCCACAATCTATAAATTTGTGGGCTAAGTTTGACTTGGTTATATTACAGAGCGGGTTGTTCATTGCTTTCAAATATGAAACGGGGAGATATTAAAATAACGATCAAGTCAAGACAAAAATTAAGGTGAGAGCATTATGCATAATGGACTTTATAATCCACTTTTCTTTTGTCCCTTTTCCTTTTCTTCTTTAAATTTGTTGGTTGGTTGGTTGGTTGGTTGTCTTATAGCTTTAAGAGGCCAATCTGTGTTAAGCTTGGGATTTAAGCTTGGCATCAAGACTAGCTAGCTGCACATATGCATGCCATCATTGCATTGCATGATATATATAGAAGAAGGTTCTCCACCTGCTATGAACCATCCCTTTACCCTAGTGGCAAGCAAAAGACATATCCTTTACTTGTGAGCTGCAATCAACTCAAGGTCAAGATCCTTGCATGAAAGCAAAACCCTCCTCAAAAACTAATTAATCACTTCACCAATTATTAGGGCTAGTTTGGGATTCTAAAGAGGCTAATAATCATTTTTCATTTCTTCAAATAATCTCTTTAAGTGATTTTATGGATAAGCACACAGGAGGTGCTTCTCCCCAAAATCACTTAAAAGCACTAAAAGTGATTATGTTGAGAAGCACGTGGGAGGCGCTTCTCTCCAGAAGTGATTCTGACCTATCTAAAATCACTCTGAAACGAGCCCTAAGTCTCTGTAAAGCTATTTCAACCAAAAGAAATAAAAATGTTAAATAATTTGAACATATTTACATGTATTTAATTTGTTTATGCATATGGCATAGGACCAAGTTTAAAATTAATTTGAACGTTAAAAAAGCAACTATAAAGTCTGGAACATATACAATTGGAAGTAGAGCGTAGCTTGTTCCCTAATCTAATTTAAGTACCTAAAGTTGCTATTTCGGTTGACTTCATCACAATTCACAAATGTATGCTTGAGGAGGAGAAAAAATAAAAAAATTCTTGACAATTTCCTTTTCCTTGGTCTTTTTTGGTTAACATTTAATATATATATACACATACATAAATCTATACATACAGTTGGCTCTGTGTGAACTCGAATAGCAAGGTTTGCAGTACTGGTGTAGAAAGTGGACTCCAAGTCATGTGACATGAGGAAAGAATCTTGGGTTTCATTTCATCCTTACGTGTATAAGGACCCCATTATATATATATATAATGCATGGCCATATCAAATCTCTCTGCCCATCTCTCTCTCTCTCTCTCTCTCTCTCTCAAGAACAAAACAGTTGAGGGGAATGTCGTCTGGTTCGAGATCCTTCACAGCTGTAGAGCTTAAGCATAGTCCGAATGATTTCGGACCAGGCTTCATTCCCCTCAACTAAGAGAAATAATTCACTACTTTCTATACATATCATGCAGTAATTAAAATGCAATGAATTAGAGCCTCTTGCCTTATGATAGTATTTATGCAGAAGCTGCAGATTTTCAATTGAGGAAAGCAGAGCAGCTAGCCTACCTGAAGCCGAAATTGGCAACCAGAGCAAGCATCATCAGTTGAGTCTAATTTCTATCTCTTCCATGCCTAAAATATGTTGACTAAGATATGCAGTGCCATTGTGAACATATGACTGCAAATTAAGTTTTTTCTTCTGTCCTTTTGGTTTTGTTTATTTGCTAGTGTCCCTTTTTTTTTTCTTTTTTGTTAAATTTTCTGGGAAAAGTAGGGGAAAGGATATAGAGACAGAGAGTCTCTCTATACTGTGATTTGGGTTAGCATGTTTCTTAAGATTTTAGTACATGCATATCTTTCTTCCATGCCAAACCACCATATCTACAAGATGAGTCAACCCTAAATGGGGAATCAAAAAACTGATATTTCCATGTGGCTCAGATTTACATGTGAGGTTCATGATTTCAGGTGGGACAGACCTCCTTGATATTGACAACTGTAGCTTCTCAATTGGCTTCTTTGATATGATTTTACTTTGTCGGGGTGGAAAAAGGAAAAAACTTGCACAAGCGGAGCAGTGTATCCACAAGCTAAGGCGAGAGAAACAAATGCAATTGCAAATGTACAGTTTCATGATGTAAGAACAATATCAATGTGTAAGAGTTATAATTGTGGTTCGGATTCTCATGTTGAAAGAAGGGTTGAAAAAATGGAATCCAAGTACTTTTGTTTGTAGGGTTTGATTGGACTTAAGAGGGATGAGAAATAATAGTGGGGGATGAAAGATTACAAAGTGAGAAAAAGGAGGGAGTATGTGTATGCCAACCAATATGACCTTGTCTGCTTGCTTATGTGTTTTTCTTTCTGACTCAAATGATTTGATATAACTCAATAAATAGTGTTAACAAATACTAGTAAATTTGTAATGAGGATAAAGCCACAACAACCTACTCTTATCTACTGGTCTTTGATCAAGTTGATGAAGTTCTTGACCTTGCCCTTGGTCCCTTCTCAACAATAAAAATGAACTATATTTATTGATTTTGCCTAGATAGTGATGGAGGGGGCCGGGCCATGAACCCGGGACATGCAAGTTTTTCTCCTGACATACATCTTATGTATTAAGTTTAAAGGTGGATTATCATATAATCTAACAATCTATTACTTTCTTGAATTACCCACTAATGATGCTTGAAAAGCAGCCAACAAGAAACATAAATAAAAAATAAAAAATCCAATCAAAGGACGTCTTGCCTGCATGACCCATATACTTATCTTTTAAGCTGCAATCACTCCAATCAACAAGATTGGTAAATTAAGTTGTAATTACCCCAATCATTTGGAGGTCTCACCATCTGAGTGAAAAGCAGGAGATAAAAAGAGAAATTTCATGTCTTTGGAGAGAACGTGTTGCAAAAGCTTCTTGGTACAATAATATGCATACTTTTTCACCTATCCTTTCAAGTTTAGGGATCTGAAATTGAGGAGAAAAATCTCATAAGGGTTCATCTAATGTGAGAGGCAATAGCTTTTATCATCAGACGGTCTTTAATAAGGGGAATGCTAGCAACCTTCTCTCCAACCTTCTCCTATGGATCTTCTCCATTTTCTTCATGACATGTGTCCATTTCCTTACACTTAAAACAATGTAATTAATGCATCAAACAAGCCATCATTAGTTTTCCAATTTTACCGTTATTAAATATATTTATTTTACTGTTTTCTTTAATTTATCCTTTCTTTTTTTTTTTTTTTTACAAACTTCTTACCACCTTGTTAAAAATTAATTAAGAAAAAACGTTTTTGGGGAAGACTCTAAAGGCAATGAGACATTCAAATAAGAATTAAAAATTAAATAAGAAAAAACATTAGTTTTATTTTTTGTTGCCTGAAAGATTCCAAAGGGAGTAAGGAGAGACGTTTAAATATAAAATTTGGTATGCCAAAATTTTAGGATTTTTTTTTCTTCATATATTCAAACTCCAAAGGCAGCAAGGGATATAAATAAATATAAATAAAATTATGAACTTCCTATGGAATCTGATTATTTGGGGTTTTATATATATAAATTTTTAGTTGTCACTGAAAATGCTCTTTAACTTTATTTAGTAGTATAAAAAAATGCAATTAATGAACTTCCTTTTGAAGGAAGTCTTTTTTCTGTATAAAAATGTGATCTTTCTATTAAGTGTTTTTTAGGTTATTCTTTTGTGTTTAAAAAAAAAATAGAAGTTTTAATGAAAAAAAATAGACATTTTCTTTTTTTTAAATTGACATTTTTTATTATTTAATTTTTTTTACGTATGGTAAGAGAGTTGTAAAATTGTTTTTGAATAAATTGAAAGACAAAATATTTACTAAGGGTAAATTTGGAAAACAAATGTTAGCTAAGCAAATTGAAGGAAAGTGACACATGTCATGAGGAAAATGAAGAAGGTCCAAAAGAGAAGGTTGGAGAGAAGGTTGCTAGCATTCCCCTTTTAATAATGCTGTAAAGAAACGTTTGCTAAGCACTAGCCCTTGGGGCACAAACCCATCCACCCAAAATAACAGAGAAAAATAAAGAAAAGAAAAGAATTCAACCCTGATCTGCTAACAAAATACAGCCTTTTGGGTTAGAGTACTGGCTTAAAGATCAGCAATGGGACCCTAAGGGTGATATTTGTTGATACATGCCATTTTTCAGTCATCATTTGAACTACTTTTATTGCTGAATGACAGGAAAAAAGAGGGGGAAGAGAGAGAGAGAGAGAGATATATATATATATATATATATATATATATCTCTATATATATGGTACAAGTAATTATTTTTATGTGGCATTGTTGTTTCCTTCAAAACTAGAAACTAATTGTATTTATGTGGGTGTTTTCATTCTTCATGGTGGATATCCAATCTCCCTATAGGCTGTCGACCAGATGGTACAAGTAAAAGCATATTATACAAAAAAATAAAAAAATAAAAAAATCAGTCTATTAGTATCCAAGTTTACTTTCTTCTTCCCCACCAAACTGGGCCATTTAGCAAAAGAAACCACATACTTACCAGTTATGCTCAGTGCAAACAGCAAATACTGAAGTACTCTGTAAATACACTAAATATATACATATATGTTGAGTGTGTTTGTCCTACTTTGAAAAGTTTAGGGACCAAGCCTGGGTTTATAAAGAGTTTGGCTACTCTCCCCATTGCCAATTGGTTTTGAGGTGGAATCTCAACTTCCTTCATGATATCAGAGCAAAGCTTCACGTGTTGGGCCCAACGGCCACAAGCACTCCCAAGTCACCCAGTACGTCCACATGTTAGACTTAAAAATTCGCCACACGTGCAGGGGGGTGTTGAGAGTGTTTGTCCCACTTTTAAAAGTTAAGGAACCAAGCTTGGGTTTATAAGGAGTTGAGCTACTCCCCCCTTTGCCAATTGGTTTTGGGTAGAACCTCAACTTCCTTCAATATACGCATATACACACATTCGAAGACATACTCCATATGTTTTACCATCATGGATCAACTAGTGAGGACAGACTCTCAAACCATTTCGATGCCCTTCTTTCAACTTGTGGGATAGGTATTTTTCTTTTCCAGAATGAAATGCTAGTTCGCTGAGACTGCACTCATCAGCTGAGAAATATTTCGTGCTCATCAAAAAGGGAAAGCGAACAAAAGGCTAGAAAAAGGTATTGCAGCAGAAAAATCTACAATTCTCATTAAATGCTTTGCATAAATATTTCACAGAATTTAAGGTTTGATGCAATACAAAGAAGTTTAATATCTGTATTACAAAAGTATAAAGTACAACAGGAGGCCGACTGGTTACTCCCACTCTGCGGATCATGTTCTCTCATTAATTGACAGAAGAGTAACATTTTAGTGACATAACAGTACCTTTTTTAGGTGAGCCTCTCTTCTACTTAACGCCATGCCACAGAACACGAGACCAGAAAAAAAAAATATATATATATATATATGATGCGCTAGGTCTTGTTTATTTGCAACCTTGATTCGGGAGTCACTCACGCACTGCAGGCACCAGTGGATGCATGTTCAGTCCATCATTACACCATCTATGCGATCTGCCCTCGCACAGACCGCACCACTGAAGTTTTTTCTTTGAATACAATAACGATTGTCCATTTGAGATCATGGCAATGCACCTTCACATTTTGTAACTTCTGGTTGAATGTGTGAACAAAATCAGAAGACTTTCGGATTAGAAGTTATGACTGAATAATCATGCTTGTGACTTTTAAACTTATCATGTCATCTTCGATTGGCTAGTGGCAGGAAATGTTGGAAGCAAGTCCAGACATTTACGATACTTTTCATCCTTGGAGAGCAAGTCTATGACAACGGAGATTGTGCAGGAATCTGGTGACAAATTTCTTGTGACCATCTTGTGAAGAAGTTCCACCACTTTCGCCGAGTCATCACTTTGGCAGAAACCACGCATGAGGATATTATAAATAATGACATTTGGAGCACAACCATTCGCTTCCATTTCTATAAACAAACCATTTGCCTTTTCCAGTTGTCCTTCTATACAGAGCCCATGAATCATCACGGAATATGTTATAACATTTGGTGCCAGGCCTCTATTTGACAATGTAAGAAAAAGATCCCAAGCAACTTCAAGGTTCCCTGCTTTACAGAAGCCATCAATAAGGCAATTTAACATTTCGACACTAATTTTGAAGTTGCAATTTTCTAAAGTACGGAAAACTTCCATTGCCTCTGGTACGCGATCAGTTTTGCAAAGCCCGTCCAACAATATTTTATATGTTGTTGAATTTGGTAACAGGTTCTGAGTTTGCATTTCACCAAAAAGTTCTTGTGCATCCTGAACTTTACCCATATGAAAAAGACCAGTTAATAAGGAGTTATATGTTATTACTGTTGGCCTAGTTCCTTTGCCAATCATTTCCTTGTAAAGATTGACAGCTTCCTGTATATTCCTATTCTTGCAGTATCCATTGATCAACACATTGTAGCTAATAGCATCAGGTTCACACCCTCTACTTGGGATAGAATGAAACAGCTCTCTTGCTTCATTAAGCCTACCCGCTAAACAGAAGCCATCTATCAAAGTGTTGTAAGTAAATACATCAGGATCTATGCCCCTTTGAATCATCAACTTTAACAAGTCACTGCTTTCTTTCAGATGTCCCCTTCTGCAAAGCACTCCTATTAACACATTGAATGTCACCACATTAGGCCTGACACCCTGATCCACCATCTCATTTAACAAAGCTTTAGCCGCTTCCCATTTTTCATTGTAGTACAATTCATGTATTAGAGCACTATATACAATCACATCAGGGACAAATCCTCTATCTTTCATTTCTATGAAAAGTTCTTTCGCCTTATCTACCAACCCAGCTTTACAGAGCCCATCAATAATGGTCCCATAAGACACTACACTTGGCTTACACTCAACACCATAGACACCATTCCCATTAGCCATTTCTTCATGTAACCGAACCGCAACATTCGTATTACCTGTTCGACACAACCCGTTAATCAAAGTACCAAAAGTAACCACAGTAGGCTGACACCCCAACTTGATCATTGTCATAAACAACCTGGTTGCCTCATCAATCCTATCCTCCTTACACAACCCTTTAAGCAATGCTGTATAAGTCACAGTACTTGGTCTATAGCCCCTCCTTAAAAGACTTCCCATAACCACAAAACCATCACGAGCCCGGTTCACATTACAAAAGCAATTAAGCAAAATATTAAGCGTAATGAAATTAGGCAACAACCCAACTGATATTAACTTATTGTAAAGCAAAAAAACATGAGAGCAATGCTTACTCTTGGCAAGTCCACCAAATAAACAATTGAATGACCAAATTGGAGGAGTGGGTTGCATTTGAATCATGTGCTCAAAATAGTGCAGCGCTTCATTGATGGTAACATCACCTGACTTACAGTTGGTTTCGAGAAATTTTTCAAGTTGGGTTTGGATTGGAACTTTGGAAATTGGGTTTTCTGATGAAGTTGTGGGATTTGAAGAAGTGGGCGTGCCTTGGTTCTTGATGAACAAAGATGAAAGCTTGCTTGAAGTTTTGGAATTTGAAGATGTGGGCCTTTGTGGGTTTGCGAATAAAGATGATAACTTTACTTTTGAAGCTGTTCCCGAAGAGCTCATCGTAGAGAAGCAGTCAGTAGAAGAACTTCAGCAGCAGCAGCTAACCTAATCGTCGTTTTTGTGTCAACGACTTGGTATTGAATCAAGAGAACATTGTAGTACTTGGTGTCGTTTTAGCGGTAAACAAAAACTTCTTCATTTTCTCTCTTTTGCAGTTTATATTAATCAATTTTGTTTGCCAATTAACAAATTATTAGCTTCTCTTAAAAAAAAACAAATTATTAACTTCTCTATAATAAAAAATATAAATTATTAGCCATTACTCTTAGAGCATATTTGAAAATAAAAATCCAAAACTAGTACTTGTTATTTTTTTAATTAGTTTTAAATATTTTAAAATTTTGTAAGAACTAATTAAAAAATGGCACGTGACTAGTTTTGAATTTTTCCATCTAAACAAAATTTGAGAAATCGGAATAGAGTGGTTAGAGAAATGTGGATATGTTATTTCTTGCTTTTCAAAATATAATGTATTAGATTAATTTAATTTTAAAAATAAGGCCAAACAATTTTATTTTCAGTTTTCTGAAAAATTAGAAAGTGGAAATGTATTTGGTAATTATTATTTAGTAAATTTAGTTTTTTAGTTTTTGAACAAATGAAAATTAATTTAAAAATGAGCCAAAATTTTGAAAACTCTCGAAAATCAATTTTCCACGCTAAACCCTAAACCTTTGCTATTGTTTCACGCTCGCTCTCGCTCTCTCAAATCTCCCTCGCGCTCTCTCTCTCTCTCTCAATTCTCGCTCTGCCTCTTCCCTCCTCGCTCGATCTCATTGCGCTCAGTTATCTCGGATCTGACGCGCTCTCTGTCTCACTTATATCCTCCTCTCTCCCTCAGATCTCACCGCCTCTAGGCTTTCAGAAAGGTATGAAAATCTCTGCCTGACTGTTTGGGTGATTCAGATTTGGTGTTTTTGAACTGTTTTAAGTTGTTGGTATTTGTTTGTGTTTTTCTGCTGATGTTGCTGTGGTTTTGTGTTTTGCTGCTGATGTTGCTGTGTTTTCGGGTTTTGCTGTTGCTATTAATAGTGCGTTACAGAAAGGGAAGAAGCAATCGTAGTTTTTTTTTTTTGTCGTACTGTTTGGATCAAACTATCTCTTCTCCATTCAATTAATAATCAATTGTTTTTAACCTCTGCTTAGTTTAAATGAGTTCATAATATGCCTAAATTTACTGTTGCATGCATAGCTGCTAGCTGATGTGTTGCTTAAATTGTTTGTTCTGGTTTTTTAGCTTAAGTTGCTTATAAGTATATCAAGCTAATTAAGACAGAGGGAATATGGAGGGTTAAATTTTGAGTCACTGAACTACAGTTTGTAATAAGCTATTGTACCAACTTTGGTTTTCATTGGAAACGTCCAATTTCAATGAATTTATGAGAACATCTGCAGATTAGTGTCGCCGCTCATAGAACTAAAATTAAACAATAAAAACGAAAGTTGGTACAATAGTGTTGAGAACTGAAAACATTTGCAAATTACTGTTTCCATGATACATCCAATGAATTTATGAGATCTCAGTATGTAATACCATTGTAATATCAGTAGTGTATTACTTAATTTTTTTGGTGAACTTACTTAATACTCAGATTAATTTGGTATATCTTGTTGTTCCTTGCCAGGTTGATATCCAGGTTGAAAATCCTAGAAACATACCCCTTGTTCAAGATGAGGTATGATTAGTTTGATGTGCCAAATTGCAATTGTCCTTAGCTTTTTACTGAAATACTAACAAGGTTCCTTTTTTGTTTTGTCTTTATTTCCCTCTCTGTTTCCAGCCGGCCAATGGAGGAAGATGTAAGTTATTCTGCTCTTGAGTTGATTTTGTTCATCTTTATCACGTCTCTCTCTGCATCTTTAAATGTTATGTATTATCTGAGAGATCGAGTAAAATGGGTTGTCCTGAATTTGGATATGGAATTTGCAACTTTGAACTAGTGGCAGTTGGCAATATCTCATAGTTACCCCCATCTGTGATTGTATTGAATTGTACTCCATTGGTACTTTGATGGTATTTCATGGAAACTAATCTGAGTTCAAAATATTGTTGCACTTCAGTTAGTCATTTTTTGGTTAATGCATCAGCGCACTAGTAATTATTAAAGAGTAATTGTGTTATGCCTCTTACGTTTGTGTGTTTCTTTTTCCATTGGGATCAAATGTTTGAGAGTGATCTCTCTTGGTATATGACATGGTCGCATGTGATTATTTCCCTTCTCATTCTGGAAACCTTTTATTTTGTCATATTCTCATTCTGAAATCCAAAGTCAGCATATTTATTCTTATTGGTATCATCAATTTGTGAAGATTCTTATCTAACCTGAATGCTGAAGGTTGCCAAGAACGAGGAGGAGGAATTTAATACAGGACCACTCTCTGTTCTTATGATGAGTGTGAAGAATAATACTCAGGTAATGCTTTCTATAATTTCATAGTTCTCTGCCAATAAAGGATTTACATATCAGGAAAATATTCTTATTCAAATTGGTTCTCATTGTGCAAACAGGTGCTTATCAATTGTCGTAACAACAGAAAGCTTCTTGGTCGTGTGAGAGCATTTGACAGGCATTGCAACATGGTTCTGGAAAATGTTAGGGAGATGTGGACTGAGGTATTCCCAATCATGGGTTTTATCTCGTGTTCTGTTTCCTTTTGTGTTGGTAGATCTTCATCAATTATCAATGTTCTTTTTATCTCATGATATTTGCGTTATCTTTTATTTGTCTATGCAGGTGCCAAAGACAGGAAAAGGCAAGAAAAAGGCCCAACCTGTTAACAAGGATAGATTCATCAGCAAGATGTTTCTCCGTGGGGATTCAGTTATCATTGTTCTTAGGAATCCTAAGTGAGGTGTATTATTGTATGTAGCTTTGACAATTCCAACGACTTGCAGAAGTAGTATCCATGCTGAAAATTTTATGTGCTAAGCTTGAGAGCTTTTATGTACACTTTTTTTGAGCAACTTTCAAGTGCTGTATATTTTTTTACCAAATGGATCATGCACGCATAAACAGTTTACTGTTTTTGAAGGAAAATGATTATCTTACCAAATGGATCATACACGCGATGCGATGTATAATACAATCGTAGTTATGGGAAGAAGAAAAAATTGGATCATATTATTGCCGTTGTCATAATCCTAATTCATTTCTCCATTCTCCCATAACCACTTTGTTACTATGACAATCTGAGTTTATATTTTAAAGTAGGGAATGAAAAATTTACCATAACAATCTAAGTTTATAAATTTGTTACTAACACATTGATGTGTAACACTGAGGAACATTATTAGGAAAGTGAAAAGTCCATTGGTGGGAAAGTTCATATGAGTGTTGTGGGGGGAGAGGCAGGGACGAGGACAGAAGGTTTATTGGGTACAATTTTAGAAACGTCATTAATAATAATAACAATAATAACAATATAAATATTTGTTCACATCGCAGACGTGTCACCACTCAATTTCGAAACAAGTAACAATATAACGATTAACATGCAACTAGAAAAGGCATAAGCCAATTCCAAATTTTCTCTCTCATCTTCACAATCGAAATCCAAATCAGATCGCAGAAAAGTAACAAAAGACTCAATCTTTCTTCACATCACATCTAGCTAGCTATTTTTCCTGGAATTTTTTAAGACATGCAGAAAGGTAAGCATCATGGAACAAAACTAGTGAGCCTCTTGATATTGGCCTCTTCCGTGGCTATATGCTTCCATCCTTCATGCACAAAGCTATGTAATTTATCACTCCTCACCTCTCAATTTTCTTCAGATCACAACAACAGCAAACCCACCTTCACACAGATCCTTGTAGCCTCTTCCATCGGGATCATCATCGCCGCCGCGGTGCATTACCGTCTGCGAAAGCTCAAGGATCAGAAGATCATCCCACGCCTAAAAATATCTGACTCTAGCCGTGTTCAACACAAGCTTGAAAGGTTCCCTCATTATGTAGGTAGGTAATTAATAGAACATGATATCTTCACTTATTATCTCCATGTAAATAAATAAAAAAAGACTTATTGTGATCTATATATGAGGCTGTGTTATTGTAAAACCTGTTGGCAGAAAATTCAAGAAGCAATTTTAACAGAATTGTGTTTGTGTGTCTGTGTTTTCTGCATTGCCTTGTGGATGCACATGCAGCTAGGCAGCTGGGATTTAATGACAGAAGAGAATGTCCACATCTCTGCAAGTTAGCCACTGAATACATCAGAAAATTTGAAGGGTTTGAGGATGATATCTATAACTTCTTCTCAAGTGAACCGGATGCCGATTCGCTGTTTGTGAAGCTTGTGGAGGAGTTTGAGAGATGCATCCTCAGCTATTTTGCATTTCATTGGAGCCTAGCTGACCTCATGATTAGTCAGGTGGTTAAGATCCTAATCATTTTGCATTGAAAGACAATATGAAAGAATGTAATTAAAATCCTAATTAGTCATATTTTTTTTCTGTGGAACCTCAAGTGATAAGGATTTGTAAAATTTCAGATCTTGAGCTGTGATGCTGAGCCTAGAAAGAAGCTCAAGAACATTGTCATGGCAGCAACGAGGTAGGTAGGAATTACTTATTATACGCAAGCGTTACCAACGCGAAGCACAATGATTATTGTAATTTTGTTTTTTGGTAGGGAAAATTGAATATAATCTTGACTCTGTGTTTTGATATAGAGAACAGAGATTTGAGAGGGTGACAAAAAATTTGAAGGTGGCCAGAGTTTTCACAACGTTGGTGGAAGAGATGAAAGCAATGGGACTGGCGACGGCGGTGGATGACTCGACATGTACAGAGGTGATGGCTCCAGTAGCACATGCTGATAGAAGTCCAGTCCTCCTCCTCATGGGAGGTGGAATGGGAGCAGGGAAGAGCACTGTGCTAAAGGACATCCTCAAAGAGTAAGAGTTCATTTTTCAAGCAAAATGCATGCTATATATATATATAAACCAACTTCTCTTCTTCCCTTGACATTTTCCTTCTCAACTCTCTCTCACATGGCATGGATTGAAGCCTACATGAATATCTTGATAATCGATCCTATTATATATCGGGTAGA